CCCTTCCACCTCCGTGGAAGGGCGGTTCCCCCTGCCACATTCCCCACTTCCGCGGGGGAGCGGCACACCGCCGGCCGGCTCTCTCGGGGGCTGCACGGGGGCTGCACAGGTGTTCCCTTAGATGTTCCTCTTAGATGTTCCTGGTACATGCTGTCTCTCTCCTCCTTTATAGTCCTCCTCCGCCAATCCTAACTCAGCTGCCCACACGCCGAGTACGCTGCTCTCCTCCAATCAGGAGCAGAATCAGCTCCTGGAGGTCATCACTCAAGTTGGCAAGAGGCAGCTGCGTAGAAGCTGTTTTCTCCTCTCCCAGCGCCATATTGTGGGAGAGCAGATGCATAGAATAAGTCTTAATTCTAGTAACTCAGTCTAGTCCGAGTTGCTCCCCACAGTATGCAACATGTAATTTCCCTAAATCAAGTTTATGGTTTGAGAATATTTGTAAATTTATTTGATGGAGCTAGATTGAAGTAAGTTGTTTCTTTTATACTTTTAGAATTTTTTTAACTTTTATTTAGTAAATATAAATGTCCAAAGTACAGCTTATGGATTACAATGACTTCCCCCCCAATAACTTCCCTCCCACCCGCAGCCCTCCCAACTCGTGCTCCCTCTCCCATTCCATTCACATCAAGATTCATTTTCAATCCTCTTTATATACAGAAGATCAATTTAGTATGTATTAAGTAAAGATTTCAACAGTTTGCACCCACATAGAACATAAAGTGTAAAATACTGTTTGAGTACTAGTTATAGCATTAATTCACATTGGATAACACATTAAGGACAGAGATCCTACATAAGGAGTAAATGCACAGTGACTCCTGTTGTGGACTTAACAAATTGACACTCTTGTTTATGGCATCAGTAATCTCCCCAGGCTCTTGTCATGAGTTGCCAAGGCTATGGAAGCCTTTTGAGTTTGCGGACATTGATCTTATTTAGACAAGGTCATAGTCAAAGTGGAAGTTCACTCCTCCCTTCAGAGAAAGGTACCTCCTTCTTTGATGGCCCCGTTCTTTCTACTGGGATCTCACTTGCAGAGATCTTTCATTTAGGTCATTTCATTTTTTTTTTTTTTTGCCAGAGTGTCTTGGCTTTCCATGCCTAAAATACTCTCATAGGCTCTTCAGCCATATCTGAATGCCTTAAGGGCTGATTCTGAGGCCAGAGTGCTGTTTAGGACATCTGCCATTCTATGAGTCTGCTGTGTATCCTGCTTCCCATGTTGGATCGTTCTCTCCCTTTTTTTATTCTATCAGTTAGTATTAGCAGACACTAGTCTTGTTTATGTGATCCCTTTGACTCTTAATCCTATCATTATGATCAATTGTGAACTGAAATTGATCACTTGGACTAGTGAGATGGCATTGGTACATGCCACCATGATGGGATTGAATTGGAATCCCCTGGCACATTTCTAACTCTATCATTTGGGGCAAGTCAGCTTGAGCATGTCCCAAATTGTACATCTCCTCCCTCTCTTATTTCCACTCTTATATTTAACAGAGATCACTTTTTCAGTTAAATTTAAACACCTAAGAATAATTGTGTGTTAATTACAGAGTTCAACCAATAGTATTAAGTAGAACAAAAAAAAATACTAAAAGGGATAAAGTATTAAGTTGTACATCAACATTCAGGACAAGGGCCGATCAAGTCACTGTTTCTCATAGTGTCCATTTCACTTCAACAGGTTTCCTTTTTGGTGCTCAGTTAGTTGTCTTTTAGACAACTTTTTTTTAAAGATTTATTTATTTGAAAGGCAAAGTTACAGAGGGAGAGAGAGAGAGGGAGAGAGAGAGATAAAGAGAGTGAGAGAGAGAGAGAGAGAGAGAAAGAGAAAGAGGTCTTCCATCTGTTAGTTCACTCATCAAATGGCCACATCAGTCAGGGCTGGACCAGGCTGATGCCAGGAGCCAGGAGCTTCTTCTGGGTCTCCCACATGGGTGGCAGGGGCCCAAGCACTTGGGTCATCTTCTCTTGCTTTCACATGCACATTAACAGAGAGCTGGATCAGAAGTGGAGCAGCTGGAACTTGAACCAGCGCCCATATGGGATGCTGCTGTTGTAGATGGTGGCTTAAGAAATTTTTAGAAACCTAGGAAAAAAGGAATAGTGCAGAAAAACTCTCATTTTCCTGATAATGGAAATACAAATGTTAATTAAAATATTATCTTAGCCTTTTTAAAGAATAAAATACTGCTGTTGAAGCTAGATACCTAAATAATGGGTCCTGTGTGGTGGCATAGAGGGTAAAGATACTGCCCGCAATGCCAGCATTCTATATGAGCAACAGTTCATATCCCTACTGGTGCTCTACTCACAATCTAGCTCCCTGTTAATGGCCTGGGAAGAGCAGTGGAAGATGGCCAAAGTGCTTGTGCACCTGCCACCCCGTGGGAGATCCAGATGGAGCTCCTGGCTCCTGGCTTTGGCCTGGCCTAGGTCTGGCCATTGAGGCCATTTGAGGAGTGAACCAGTAGATGGAAGATCTCTTTCTCTGTCTCTCCTCCTCCCCCAACTCTGATTTTCAAATAAATAGATAAATCTTAAAAAAAGAAGACCTTTGTAACTATACCAATACTCCCAGTCTCATTTATTTTTCTAGTTCATCATCCAAAGCTTCCTCTATGTAGAATTTAGTGTATCTCTTGCCAAACATTAAAGAAATACTTTCATTTTTTTTATGCTTACAAATATAGTATATTTGTATCTAAATTTAGGTACATAATAACATAGTGTGCCTATCATTCTGTGATTTTTTAATGTTTTATATTTGAGATGTTTAATACAGATTAGAGACGGATGTAATTTATTTTTTTTAGCTGTTGTGTGAGTCCATCACAAGAATATACCACATCTTACTTGTCTACTCCCCTACTACTGGGTGCTTAGAATTTTTTGTTTGTTTGTTTCACTCTTTAAAAACCATGCTATGGTGAAGATCTTGCTCCATGTTTGCTGGAATACAAAAATATAGATAGACTGTTGAAAAAATAGATAGACTGTTAAATTATATGCATTTTTAAAAATATTTATTTATTTATTTGAGAGGCAGAGTTACATAGAGAGGGAGAGACAGAAAGAGAAGTCTTCCATCCACTGGTTCCTTCCCCAGATGGCTTCAGCGGCCAGAGCTAGGCAGATCCAAAGCCAGAAACCACGAGTTTCTTCTAGATCTCCCATGTGGTTGAAGGGGCCCAAGCACTTGAGATACCCTCCACTGCTTTCCCAGACCACCAGCAGGGATATGGATCAGAAGTGGAGTAGTCAAAAGTAGAACCTGCACCCATATGGAATAACAGCACCACAGGCAGAGGCTTAACCTAGGACACCACAGTGCTGGCCCTGGTGTGCATATTTTTAAAAGATTTACTTACTTATTCGAAAGGTGGAAAAAGAGAGTATGTGTTTCCATTTGCTTGTTCACTCCCCAAATGCCCACAATAGACAAGGCTGAGCAAGGCTGAAGCCTAGAATCAGGAACTCTCCATCTTTATCTCCCAAGTGATGGCAGGAACTCAAATACTTGAGTCATTTTCCATTGATTTCCAGGCACATTAGCAGGAAGCTGGATCAGAAGCACAGTAACTAGGACTCAGATGAGCACTCGGGGATGAGATGCGGGTGCCATGGTGGCTTAACCCGCTGCACCACAATGCCCACTCAAATGTGCATTTTTTTTTTTAATTTTTAAGATTTTTATTTTGGGGCTGGCACTGTGGTATAGTAGGTTAAACCTCCACTGGCGGGGCCAGCATCCCGTAGCAGTGTTGGTTCATGTCCTGGTTGCTCTCTGCTAGTGGCCTGGGAAGCAGAGGTGAAGAGTCCAAATGCTTGGGCTCCTGCATGCATGTGGGAGACCTGGAAGAAGCTCCTGGCTCCTGGCTTAGAATCAGCCCAACACCAGCCATTGTGGCCATTTAGGGAGTGAATGGAAGAACTCTCTCTCTGTCTCTGTCTCTCTCTCTCTCTGTAACTCTGCCTCTCAAATAAATACATAAATTTTTAAAAGAATGAATACTTTAAAAAATTTATTATTTTAATTTCTTATTTGAAAGGAAGAAAGACAGAACAAGAGACAAAGATGTCCCATCCATTGGTTCAAAGTTTCGTTTTGGATGAAGTATGGTGATTGAATTATAATGCACGTTTCTGTGTATATTGAGGTGATCATATAATTTTTCTTTTAAATTTGTCAATATGGTGAATATAATGATTTTCTGATATTAAATCATCTTTGGATTTATGAGATAAATTCAACTTGGGCATGACATATTACTGTTTTTCAAATATTCTGTGTTTGGTTTGCTAATGTTTCAGGATTTTGTTTTGACTTTCCCAGATATATCATATTATTGTGGGAACCATGTCCCCTGATGGGGTTTTCTCTCATCCGTGTGTGAAAGAATGTAAGGTGAAGACATAAATGTGTAGGAGAGCAGGATTTATTTGACGGGACAGTAGACGCTCAGAAGTAAGTTCAGGCAACCTGTCTCCATGAGGAAGGAAAAGCTGCTGCCTCAGACGAAGTTGGGGTCATGCCTTTATATGGTAGGGGATGTTGCCCTCGTTGAATATACAAATAAAGGAGAGTTTGTGTGAAGCTTCAGCCCACATGGTGATCTCCAGGAAGTATCATGGTATCTCAGTGTGGGGCTGTGGCACACACATAGTCATCATGGCATCTCCTGCAGGAGGGGAAGTGAGGCTCAGGTGCATGGTGGGAAGGGATGTGCTGAGCCGGCAGCCATGTTGAATCAGTGTGAAAGAGGTGGGGGTTTTGGCATTGCAGGGTTGCTGGCAGTCTCTCAGCTCCTCATTCACTAGCTCCCTGCCTGCCCAAATTAACATAGCTTCTTCATTTCTGATGTTCAAACAGCTTTTGGAATTTTCTTGTTTTTAAACAAAGAATTTTTTGTTCAATATAACTCTTTCTCTCAAGAACTCACACCGTTGCTATACACACAATAATAGCTTTACATTTTATTAGATACCTTATAAATTCCTTTGAGATGATACAATTAATTTTCTGAAACTCATGTATTATTTCAGGTTAGTGTTGGCAAGTAGTTTTCATTATTCATAATACCATGTGCACATGATATTTTTGTGAATATTTAATGTAAAGGGATCAAATTGTAACTTATTTTGAGGGTATGAAAGTATTCATCAACTTATATAGTAATTATGTGTATGATATCTACTATGTATCAAGCACTATTCTAGATGCTGTGTAGAGTGAAGTGAAAATAAAACTATCTTAATAAAATCTCTTAGTAATATTTTTAGGACCCAATGATATTCTCAGAATGGCGACAGAATTTAATTGTGATGTTCCACAGTTCATGCAGAAATGCATTCTTGCTTGTCAGTTCATTCCTATGGCTGAAGCTTTGATGTGCCACTTTTAATCAATAATAAAAAACAAATTTGACCTCTTTACTATTTTAGTCCATTTTTTCATTGAAGAATTATCTTTCTGATTACTTCTTATATAAACATGAAATATTCATTAATAATAAAGAATGAAATATAAATTATTCTAACATAAAATTATTTGCTTTGAGTATGCATAAATATTTGAAGTGACAGGTTTTGGTTTTGTTAATTTATCAGATGAATTTGTAACACCCGTTAAAAATGTTTCTTAAAAAGCTTAGAAGTGCAAGTATACATCTTTTTTCGTATTAAAACTTAGTTAATGGATTGTTCAAGGCAGGAAATGGCATACTCATTTTAACTTACATTTAGCAGCACAATCAATATTGATTACCTCAAGGAATTAGGAAATTTACAACTTTGTACATCCCCTTTGGTATTGCAAAGAGTTGTATACTAGACAGTGAGTACAATTAATCAAATTCTAAGTGAATATTTACCAAATTTGCATAACATTGAATTTTAGTTATAATACAATTTCTAGTTTAAAATATAGGTAAGATCACAGCTAATACAAAAATTGCCAAACTGATTGCAGTATTGGTACCCAGAGCAGGGATGCTAGGTTCCTGTGGAGGAATGAACTTGGTTACTTGTGCAATGTTAGAAACCTTTGAGGTGAGATTGCCTTGGTAGATGGCTTGGATTGCAATATTGAAATTGGTGCCATTTTCTATTTTGAAAGGTTCTGGTTTAAATTCAAAATTTTCTGTTGATCCAGCCTCCTTAGGTATCAGAAGAGAAGTATTCATTAAAGTAGCATTGTCAAAATCTTTTTGGAGATCCAGGAAGCTCTCACTTATTCTTATAATATATCTCTCAGCTGGGAAACAAATAGATACATTATGTAAGAGGGAGTAATAGGAAGGGGAAGGAACAGAATCAAAATAGGGAAATGGGTAAGGATAAAGAGCAAAGAAGCATGGAGCCTGGAACGCGTCCTAATTAAACATGTGCTCAGGTGCTAGGCAGGCCTTGATTAGCGCTCGAATTCTCCCACTATGTAATGAAGAAAAATCCATTTACCCTTTCTTATATTCACTTTATCTGCAAAATAGATTCAGTTGTTCAATTAACTCAACAAATATTTATTAACTGCTTTTATTCTAGTGGTGAAAACTATCTATAATAATGCAAGAAAAATGTTTAGCATAATTTAATGAATATTAAGTTAATAGATGTTTGAAATATTAGCTGTTATGACTGTTATTATTTTATCAAGAAAGGAAAGGACCATGTCAACATATGTGTTTCATTGCATACTTCTTTTGGAAATCTGTCAGTCATTGATATAAAAATATGTTCTCACATTCTATAATGTGATAAATCATAAAATATCAAATGTCCTTTTTTGAAGTGAATATTTTTTATTTTTTCATGAAATGATAAAGATAGTTCAAGTGCATGGTGAATAATTTGGCTCTATGGGTGTGGTATGTGTGTGTTTAAAATTCAAAGCTTTTGTTTAATATGGAATTTCTCCACAAGTAGGTCTTATCAATCTATTGTAGTATTCATACAAACTCTATGTTCCATTTACATAGATCTGTCTATGCATCCATCTTTTATTTTGATTGAAATAGTCCATTGTGACATTTTGTTTCTTGACTTTGGTTATAGTATTAGGTTCATTTTCTCCCCCAAATGCCTTCCTCTCCCTATCTCTGCAGTTCTTACTTTTCTAGGTCCAACCAGGGCCTAACTTCTTCATGAAGTTTTGTTTGCATATTTCATCCACCTGAAAAGTGTCTTCCATGAACACCTAATGCCAGGATGGAGTTCTCCAGATTGTTTTAGTGAGATACAATTTTTCATTCCTATCAGATTATACTATTCTTGAGGGCACAGACTCTGCTTTGTGTTCCTTTCATATCATGTTGAGTACCTAGTACTGCTTTGGGCATGTATTTGATCTCCTTAATTACTTGTTGGTCCAGAATACAGTTGTTAAATTGATGCCCAAATTGGTGGAATTAGAGAATTATAAAATATTAGGATTATGTCTCCTTATTTTAATAATTCTAGGTCATACAGTCTAATTTTCCATACTTGATATATATAGAATTGTGTCCCAGAGAGTTTAAATGTTTCATCTGAACTTTTATAGATGTTGATTTATTTTTTAAGAAGCTACTACTACTTTACATTTGGAATACCAGAAGGAAGCATTCCACAGCTACTATTCCCTTTTCCTGCTTGTTACAAGGAAAGAGAAAGGTTAGATCCTACACATTTCAGGCGTTTATGGCTATATATGTTGATATCCCTTTCCCTTAAGTGTTTATGTGTATTGAGTTATTCCTACTTCTATTACTTCCTATAATTAGCATGTGAGGCATTTTTATGAACCCAATATTTAACTGAAGTCTTGCTCTTTACATAACTGAATTTGGAATTAAGTATTTGGTTAAGTAATTTCATTTGTGGCTTTTTCAGTGACACTATTGGTTTTTTTAATTAAAATTTTTTTCATGTTTCAGGATCATAGCATAAGAAAATGATTTTTTCAGAATAATATGTCACAATATGAATGTCAAAATAAGAGTTCTCAACATGAAAGTACAAAAAGAACTTTGTGTGTATTTTGTTTCCTGTGACCTCAGTGATTTTTCCTTGTAGAATAATAAAAAAGATATACAGTGGGGCCGGTGCTGTGGCTTGGTGGGTAAAGCCTCTGCCTGCAGTGCTGGCATCCCATATGGGCCCCAGTTTGAGTCCCAGCTGCTCCACTTCTGGTCCAACTCTCTGCTTATGGCCTGGGAAAGGAGTAGAAGATGGCTCAAGTGCTTGAGCCCTTGCACCTATGTGGGAGACCTGGAACAAGCTCCTGGCTTTTGGTCGGCTCAGCTCCAGCCATTGCAACCATTCGTGAGTGAAGCAGCAGATAGAAGGTCTTTCTCTCTGTTTCTACTTCTCTCAGTCTGCAACTCTACCTCTCCAATAAATAAATAAGTCTTAAAAAAAAAAAAAGTAGACGAGTCTACATAATACTGAAATATTGTAGGCATTCAATAAATTTTGATTAAATTCAGTTAAATTTAAAGCAGAGTAATTTAAGCTTTCTGGAATAGAGAAATTTATTATTAGGGACTCTGTGTAAATGAGCCATTTTTTCCTTTAACTTTATTCAAACTCCATGGACAAGTTTTTCCAAACTAGTGGGTTCCTTTAGCTAGCTAGTTTGATTCTTTGACTCAGGTTGGGGATAGACTCCTCTGGAAAGATTTTTAAGATATAAACTATGCTTTTAACTCCCAACTTGAAGTTTATAGTCTACCTACGAGCTCCCATATCATTCTGTGTTTACAACTGCCTCTTATTACAGCAGCTGAAATTATGTTATTTGTGTGTCTTTTGGACTCAATTGACTGTTGAGTGTAGAGGTTGTTTCTTATGAGTCTAATAGTGTTTGAAAATACATCAAAACATAAAATATGAATAAAATTGTACAAGTACAGAAATATTTAGAAGAAAATTCCCCTTGTAGGAAGAATAGAATGCAACAGAAAGCTGCTAACTCAGTCTTCTCAAACTAATTTCAAGATGGTTCAAATAGTGAGAGGTAGTTTGACACAATACAATCTGAAAAGACTAAGTTCGAGTTCTAAGATATAAAATTTTCCTTGTCTCTTGGAGCTTTGATTTTTTCATATGAAAATCAGTAAATTATGGGCCCTAGTAGATGAGACTTCATACATGTTACTTATAAATGGAACATTAGAAAGTTCTTCGCAAATGAAAGCTAATGGGATTTGTTTATTTTGAAATGTATAGCACACTTACCTCTTCCTTTATCAAGAACATATCCAGGGGCAGTCCATGAAAGTTGAATATAATCTCCATTAAATTTGGCCTCCAGGTCCACAATTTTACCAGGTGGGAAATCATGATGTTGATCACCACTAGGAGGCGCTTTGGACACAGTAAAGGACCCTCCAGAGGTTAGTCTACTAAAGGCTTCTACTTCAACTTGTGCCAAATCATCTTTGACTTCAGATCTGGGTGAGTTCAGTATGATTTTACCTACCACAAAAAGGAAATGTGTAACTTTTCATATTGCCATGTCGATTCTTAGTTTTGAAGTTGATATTTCAGCCATGAAGGGTTTGATAGCAAACTTTGAAAAAGGTAACAGCTTTAAGTGAAGAACACTTGTTATGTTGGTATCTATTTAAAATTAATGATGAGGCATTATAGTATGTTACAAACGTGTTTTAACGTCTCAATAACATGACTGTAAATACTTTATGTCAGGATTGTGATTTATTTGTCTTTGTAGTTGCAGCATTTAGCACAGTGCTTGTCGCATAGGAAGTACTCAGTAAAATTTTTGTTCAATGTGAATGAAATGAACTGGGTGTGTGTGTAAATGAACCATAGGTTTATGCTAGGTCCACTAATATGAATATGCTTTAAATTATATAAATTATTGCATATACTTTGAGTTTTCCATAGTACATTATATTTTCAGTGTCTGCCATATGCAATTTACTTAAACAACTGACATGTCTCTATTTTAATGATACTTACCATCTTCAACATAGCCTGGTATATACAGAGCTTTGTTCTGTTGTTGCCTTAAACTTAGCCTTGCTGTGTTTTGTCTTGCCTGGGCATGTACTTTTAAGCTGTATCTACCATTTCCATGATAATCTGTAAAATATCTTGAGTAGACGCCATCATTTTTGACAGTATCAGCACCTTGAAATTGAAATGTAATAATTAGTCATCCAATAAAATAAAAAAGACAACTGTTCATGAGCATTAGTGATGTCAGCAATCTGGATTATAGTATAGCATAGTGTTCTAAGTACACCATCCCAGAATTAGACTGATTTGGATCAAAGCTTATTTGTCCACTTGCTAACCGCAGGATATTAGAAAAATCTAATTCCTGGTAGACTTTCCACTATTACAAGCTGTTACTATTGGAATTTTATAAAAGAAGTTTATCAAAATGCAGAAAATATAATTGAACTGGAGATTGAAACACTGGCATTAATGAAAATAAAGAAAAATTCTACTTATAAGTTTCATAGGAAATGCAAAATTGTTCATAAAATTTAAAGAAGATAAATGTGTCTCTGTCTTTGACTTGTCAAGATAACCAACTATGAAGTTTTAAAAGAATCAAAATTTAATTCATCTTTATGATTCATTTAGCTATACAGAAAATGTTGATTTCTGAGTTATGAAATTGTACGAGGATTTAAGGAAGTTGATGTAGATTTTATTACCTGCCCCATTATCCCAGAGCTCTAAAGTTACTTGATGTCCATCTTCAGTTTCTATGATAGCTGTTACATTGATTCCCAGAACAGGCAGAAACCCTTGGCTGACTCGTGCATAAACAATCAGTGGGCTAGGGTAACGTGCTGTATTTTGACTCATGTGAGCAGTTGCAATTATTGGGAGTGTGGTGGGACTTTTTGCTCGAGTGGTCATTGTCACCGTAATTAATTGAGAGTTGGGATGATTACTTCGAAGGCTGTAAGTCCATGTACCTGTCTGAAAATTTAAAGCAAAAATCTATTTTGGAACCTTGGTGATAGTTTACTATTCCTTACTTGCAATGTTACATTATTCAAAACTTTAAAGAGAATGATTATGAGTTTTAACATCTGATTTTATAAACTAGTAATAGTGTGGATATGAATACCCAATTATTCTATTTGACTTCTTTTTTAATAATATGATGTGTTGCTAATTTAATATTGGAAATATATATGATGTTAGTTTCTTTTAAAAAATAGAAATTGATTAATAAGGCATGGTGAAAATAAAAGAATAGACTTACCTCTGCAACACCTGGTATTCGAAGGCGAGCAGACCGCCTATTTAGCTTATCTTCTTTGAAATCAGAGGTATTATATTTTTTTCCTTTTGGATCTTGAATAATAATTTCTGGCTTTTGCACTGTCCATGTGACAACAAAGAAAGTATCATTTCCAATGGTACTATCCACGGGCACTGTACCATTTATCCATTTCCTTCCCGTTATATTCAAGGCTTTACTTTCCAACTGTTACATAAATAAAAACAACATATAAAACCCATTTATTATTATAGTTAATAGAGCTTTAAAGTATAGTTAGTTCAGAATAATGTTAAATTTGTTAAGATTTTAGTTAAAGTGGTTAAGGAAATTTTTAAGAATTTTTCCAAATAAAGGACATATAAAGATGAGGAATGGAAGAATTCAAGAGGAGAGTGTCATGGAAAAGAAAATTCAGTAAGAATGTTTTTCTTCTGCACATCTGAAATATTTTCAGGCAAAAAGTTTATTTATTAGACAAAGAAAAGTTAATAATTTTGAAATGGAAATTTATTACAATGTGAGAGAGTAAAGAATTTTCTTAATATTCTAACCTGAAGAGCTTGCTGAGAGATGCTGCCACTTCTAGATGAAATTCTGCTGAAAGCATCAATAAGACCATTTATGTCTTTATTTGCATAGAAGCGATACCCTCCTAGAATGGAATTTTGAAGGGGAATATCATATTTGTATTTGTGCTGTCATAAATAAACTTTAAAATCTATTTTAACATTTCTTTTTAAAGATAATTTAAAATTTTTATTTATTTGAAAGGCAGAGTTACAGAGAGGGAGAAACACACACAGAGAGATTGTCCATGTACCGATTTGCTCCCCAAATGGCTACTGTACATTTCTTTTTTAAAGATTTATTTATTTATTTGAAAGGCAGAGTTACAGAGAGGCAGAGAGAGAGAGAGTGGTTTTCCATCCACTGGTTCACTCTCCAGATGGCCACAATGGCTGGAGCTGTGCTGATTCAAAGCCAGGAGCCAGGAGCTTTTTCTTGGTCTCCCACGTGGGTGCAGGGGCCCAAGGACTTGGGCCATATTCCACTGCTTTCCCAAGCCATAGCAGAGAGTTGGATCAGAAGTGGAACAGCTGGGACTCGAACCGGCCCCCTGGAAAGCCAGCACTGCTGGTGGCAGCCTTACCCACGATGCCACAGCGCCGATCCCAATGTACATTTTTTTTTAAACTTACAAAAAATGAATTTTTCAGAACCTTATGAACTCTGTGTGACAGTGTACCAGATGTAATCCTATAATAACTAAAATCTTGTTTAAAACGAGTGGTATAAGTAAGAATAATGGAAACTTTAAAGGGAAGTCAAATTTTATTGTTTTTATATCAATCTAAAATTTAAGTGCCTGCCATACTAGTATACCACACTAAGCAGTTTCCAAAAATTAAATTTAAGTTGGTATTATGAGGCAGCTGATTATTATTTTCTATTTGGGGCCCTCAAAGAGTTCATGGAAAATGGAATTAAACATATTTAATTTGATGCAAAAATTTGTGAAATCCATGCAGTTTTTTTCTTAATATTCATTTTCCATGAACATTTTGAAGAGACTTTGTAATCAAAACAGAGAATAACAATCTAGAATAAAATAGAAATTGATTCAGTGAAGCCAACAAAAAATATAGCCAATAAATAATGAAGAGCGAGATTATCTAGGTGTGACGAGTTATGAAAAAATACATTGTAGAGAGAAAGAGAGAGAGAGAGAGAGAGAGAGAGAGAGAGAGAATCTTCAACCCACTGGTTCACTCCCCAAATAACCACAACGTCTGGGCTTGGGCCTGGCACCAGGAGCCAGGGACTTCATCTGGGTCTCCCACATGGGTAGTAGGGGCACAAGTACTTGGGCCATCTTCTGCTGCCTTCGCAGGCACATTAGCAGGGAACTAGATTGGAAACAGTGCAACTGACAAAGGTGGTGGCTTAACCCGCTTCATCGCAAAACTGGCAATAAGGTAGGAATTTTTCAGCAGATTTATAGGTTATGGAGAAAGAGCCCCTGATATGGAAGAGATTAGAAAGGCTTACCTGTCATACTTGATAGGATCTCCAGTTCTTTGGCAGCAGAAGGTCCCAGGGCAATGGTGTGAATGATTGCACCACTTTGTTTTACCTCCTCGAAGCATGAATGTATTCCATTATCTTCCCCATCTGTTAGTAACACGATTTCAGAACCAGAGGTATTCTGGTTACTGTAAGTAATAGCCTGAGAGTGAAAAGCCAGGTTATTAATTATCAGTCATTTCTGAAGAAACCTAAACTAGAATATACCTGTCCTTCAGTTTTTGAGAAATCTTCAGTCCTATGCATTGGAGTAAATAAAAAGGAAACTTTGGCATTGTCATCCCTGGCTGAGTTTGCCTATGGAAATGAGCGCAACGTACAGTGGTCTTCGAGGTTTTCAAAGACAGGATCTTTCTTCTAAACTTTTATTTAATAAATATAAATTTTGAAAGTACAACTTTTGGATTATAGTGGTTTTCCCCCCATAAACACCCTCCCACCCACAAACCATCCCAACTCCTACTTCCTCTCCCATCCCATTCTTCATTAAGATTCATTTTTAACTATCTTTATATACAGAAGATCAACTTAGTATATTCTAAGTAAAGATTTCAACACTTCTGTCCCACACAGACACACAAAGTATAAAGTACTGTTTGAATACTAGTTTTACCGTTAATTCTCATAGTACAACATATTAAGGGCAGAGGTCCTACATGGGGGCAGGTGCACAGTGACTCCCGTTGTTGATTTAACAATTGACACTCTTATTTATGATGTCATTAATCACCCAAGGCTCTTGTCATGAGCTGCCAAGGCTATGGAAGCCTCTTGAGTTCACAAACTCTGACCTTATTTAGGCAAGGCCATAATCAAAGTGGAAGTTCTCTCCTTCCTTCAGAGAAAGGTACCTCCTTCTTTGATGGTCCGTTCTTTCTGCTGGGATCTCACTCAGAGAACAAATATAGAATCTTTTTTTTTAAATGTATTTATTTACTTGAAAGAGTTACACAGAGAGAGAAGGAGAGACAGAGAGAGAGAGAGAGAGAGAGAGAGAATCTTCCATCTGTTGGTTCACTCCCCAGATGGCTGCAACAGCCGGAGCTGTGCCAATCTGAAGCCAGGAATCTGGAACCTCCTCTCGGTCTCCCGCACTTGTGCAGGGATCCAAGGACCTGGGCCATCTTCCACTGCTTTCCCAGGCCATAGCAGAGAGCTGGACTGGATGTGGAGCAGCCAGGACTCAAAACGGTGCCTACATGGGATGCTGGCATTGCAGGTGGCAGCTCAACCAGCTACGCCACAGTGCTGGCCCTAAAGATAGAATCTTAATGCTTGTCTTTCTCCCAGGTATACATATTTCTGCCAGCAAAGAACTCAGTTTGGGTCTCCTGTGTACGTGGCAGAAATCACTTGAGTGGTCACTGCTGCCTCCCAGGGTTTGCATTAACAAGAAACTGGAATTGAGCTGGAGCTGAGTATTGAACTCAAGTATTCTGATGTGGGATGTGGGTGTCCAAATACCTGTCCCAGAATTCCAGGTTTGTCTGAGTCCAGAGCCTGCCTTCTTAAATCATTATGCTTTATGACAAATAGACACTGCAAGAAAAGCTAAGAGGTCTATTAACCAGAAGCTTGCTTATGAGTAGAATCTTCACTTTAACTGGGGGAAGGAGGGAATCAGCAAAGGAAGTGGTTTTTCTGTTTTTATGACTGAAAACATGGCAATAAACAGGCTTAAGACAGGATTAACCTAGATTGGAAGGAATTCATGTGGGTACCAGAGGCAACTGAGCAGTGTTCGAAAGGTGCACTCAATTTTTTCAGTTCCTAGTTTTGATTTCATTTAACTTCCACCTGTGTTCACTGATTTGGGTACTATACTGCTTGAGTAGCCACCTCTATCTTTGTGATTTTTAAAATAGCAGTTTAAACTGATGCACTGGGGCTTTCCTTGTCCTTTTGTTCATGATATAGAAATGTTACTAATTCCCTTTTCAACAGTCTCCTCACTGGCAATATTTTCTGCTCACAGAGATGCTGACCATGGGCGTGATAGAGAAATGGGGAGCTCCTCAGGAAAATCCAGATGATTGTGTGCTCCCTGCAATCTTCTTCCTTGGTTTAATGATGCCCCAGTGCAATGCAGTTCTTTAGGGCTATGCCAGTGGAACCAGTGCACTTGTAGAGCTTTAGCTATAAACAATAGGTAGTAGAAGAGGCTCCCCCCCCAATGATTTACTTTAATCAGGTCGCAATATTTTTATTTTTAAAATTTTTTTATTTATTTTCATTTTATTTGAAAGGCAGACAGATGGAGAGAGATCTTTAATTCACTAGTTCATTCCCTAAATGCCTACAGCAGCCAAGGTTGGGTCAGGCCAAAGCCAGGAGGTTGGAACTCAATCCAGATTCCCCAGATGGGTGGCAGGGACCTAGAGTTAAGCCATTGCCTATGGACTCTCAAGGTGTGCACTAACAGGAAAACAGGATGGAAAGTGGAGTAGATGGGACTCAAACTATGTACTCCAATATACCAGTCTCCTGAATAGCATCTTAACCTCTGTGACACACATCTGGCCCTATGATCATGATATTTTAAAATAAGAGAACCTGTTACCCTTGTTCAAAGGTAATTATACAAAAATAAAGGAGCAGTAAATGACAAATGATATTTAAATTCTTTTAAAAAATGTACCTGGAATCCTGCTTTGAGTCCACTGCAAATGGAGGTTCCACCACCAGCAACTTGAGGCAGGTTTGCAGTGATCTTTTGGTAAGTGTCATCATCAGTTATTTTTGTTAGATTATTTTGGATTTTAGCAGTACTTTCAAAAGTGACCATCCCAACCAAGGATTCTCTTTCAATAATTTGAATTAAGTACAGTGCTGCTGCTTGATTCATTCGAAGGAGACGGTCTTCCTGTGTAAAGAAAAAAAAATTGTCTGAATACTTCCAAGTCTCTTGAAATCTTGACAGATTAAAGAGATATTTATTCATGAGCCATAAATCATGATAATAATTGACTGATATATTCTAAGTGTTAATTCCTTTATTTTATTAAAAAATTTAAGCAATATATCTTAAAATATCATGTTATACTAGGAAAAAACTTAAAATCTATAGTGTTTTAATAGCTTTTTTTAAAAAAAGATTTTATTTATTTATTTATTTGAGAGGTGGAGTCATAGACAGAGAGAGGGAGAGACAGAGAGAAAGGTCTTCTATCCAATGGTTCACTCCCCAAATGGTCTCAAAGGCCAGAGCTGGTCCATTCTGAAGCCAGGAACCAGGAGCTCCCTCCAAGTCTCCCACGTGGGTGCAGGGGCCCAAGGACTTGGGCCATCCTCTACTGCTTTCCAAGGCCACAGCAAAGAGCTGGATCAGAAGAGGAGCAGCTGGGATATGCACTGGAGCCCATATGGGATGCTCGCTCCCCAGGTAGAAGCTTAGCCTACTATTCCACAGCACTGGCCCCTTAATAGTTTTTTATACAGGAATTTTTCCTAAGATAATAATTAAAAAATGCATACAAAGATGTTCACTGCAACACATTTTTAAATAACAAGTTTAAAATTTTCAAAATATCAAGCAATGAGAGATTGACTACATTATGTTGTGAACATGTGATGTAACCATTAAAAACTGTATAATGGAATTACTTTTTACATAGAAAATACTTAAGGTATGTTAAGCAAAAAAGTCAGATTATAAGACATTATATAAAATATGATCACATTTTTGAAGGAAAAAACCCAAATACCCATATATTAACAAAGATGAGACTGGAATGACAAGGTTTGATCGTGGTTTTATGGATAATTTTCATTTTTCCTGATTTTAAAATTGTATTTCTTTCTGGTTAGCCAGAAATAAAAGTTAAGGAATAAAAATCATCACATTAAAATTTATTAGAACATAAACGAATGTTTGTTAGTTATGGAGAAGTAAACCTCAGATTAAGTTTGTTTCTATTAGTTTAATTGCTTAAGAGAACAGGCAAAACAGAAACAAAATCAGAAAGACAACAACAACAACAAAACCTGACTTACAGAGTCCATGCTTCCAGATTTATCAAGTACCAAACAGACTACTCGTTGTTTGGCTCTGAGCAAAGAAAATATAGGATGAGGTGGCGGATTCGTTCCTGCCATGGAAGATGCATTCTGAAAATCCTCAGAGTCCATGATTACATCCCATGTGCTTCTGTGATTACACATTTTGTTTTGTAGGTTTGGAGCTTCTGTATTGTGTGTATTTGCTGTACAAAATTCAGTCACCTGGAAAAAAAAATCAAGACAATACTAAAATAACTTGTGGGGCAGTCCCTTCCTTTCCAAATAGGTAGTTAGCTGCCATACACATCCTTCACAGATTTGATCTCCTGAAAACTAAACATTATTTCATAATCTAGCATTCTGACATACTTTTTGCATCAAATGGGTTGGAAACTGGGCAAAGCTATTATTTTGTACCAATAAAGTTTTTTTTTTTTGGTGATTCTTTTATGTATAGGTAGATCATGCCAACTGGCATGACTACTTTCTTTGCCTTCTAAGTTTTGGGGAGCAGAAACTTTAGGTTCAAGGAAAAGAGGACACGTAGGGTGGAGAAAATGACCTCCCTTTATTGTCTAAGTAAGTTCCACATCTTTGAAGATGATGGAAAAATGTGAAGACAGGTATTTTTAACAACCTGGATTGCTACTGACTCTGATGAACTTTGCCATCAGTAAAATGTTCCTGTAAAAGTAATGAAAGTATAGGGAGAAAATGGGGAAACGTGTAACTCTCTTTTACTGGCCAATGGTGAATTGTATCCAATAATTCTGCCAATGAATGTTTCATTACTATAAAACCTGCAAAAAATCCTCCAGGTTTTAAAAATTTAGTAACTTGGGAAAATGTTCTGCTAAATTAGTACACTGTTCAGTTAGGAATTAATTTTTACAGAAGTCCTCAGCTTACCTGGAATACTTTTAATAGTCATTTCATGGTTTTAATTACTTCCTAATACAAAGTCTCCGGATGTGGTTTCAAATTTAGAATAACTACATTATTAAATTTGAATACCTTTTATCTTAGTTTTAAGAGTTTCTTTTATTTCTTGTATGGCTCTGATTTACATCTCACAAATGGGGATATTTGGATGGGAGAAAAATATAGTTTGCATTAAAGTAGTGGTTTGTGTTCAAATTTAGCTGATAGGAAATGCCCATCAAATTTGGTCCCTCTCTCCTACTGTTACCCTTGCCTTTATACAGGTCTTTCACTAGTCTATTGCCGTTGCTTTCCAACTAATCTCTTTATTTCCATTATTGTCTCACTCCATCCTGTTCTTCACAATTAGTAGCATTATTGTCCTGATTGAATTAAATGGATCCCATCACTGGTCTAAAGCTGACAACACCTTGGCTTTATGTGTCCCAATTTGTTGCTTCAACCCTACTTCTTGCCCTTTGCTCACCATGTATCCTTTGCCTCTACCATACTAAACTTCTGTCTGACCTTAGAAGAAGCCAAAAACATCCGCTAGTATGATCATTAACCCAAGGAAATGTGCAAATTAGATAAAGGTCTCCATTTCTCAAGTTCCTTTACTGTCATCTGCTGAAAGTTGTTCTAATAAAATCTTTAATAACCATGATGCAAATAATTTGGGCAGTGCCATCATGCATGGCCTGCTTGCCTTACCTGTACTCTATGCTTTGTAAATTTCCCTTTCTTTGTTTCTTCCTTCCTTCCTTTTTTTCTTTCAAAGAATCTTCTTCCCTTCCTGCTTTGGCAAATCCATACTCTTTTTTTTTTGTTCAATCCTGTCTCAAAACTCATTTCTTCAGAAACTATTTTCTGACCTCCACTTGGAGGTGGTTACTGCCATGATGGCACTTGGTGCATATCTCTGTACCTCTTCCCACTTTATATTATACATACTTTTTCTTGCATCTGAGTTCCTTAAGAAAAGTTCATCTTTATCGAAAATGAATCTTGATGTGAATGGAAGGGGAGAGGGAGTGGGAAAGGGGAGGGTTGTGGGTGGGAGGGACGTTATGGGGGGGAAGCCATTGTAATCCATAAGCTGTACTTTGGAAATTTATATTCATTAAATAAAAGTTTAAAAAAAAAAGAAAAGTTCATCTTTAATTATTTCTGTATTTATAGCTCCTAACACAGGGTTGGGCATGAGGTAGGAATAATGAAGTGACATTAGAAAATGAAATAATGAAATTGAATATTTAATATTTCATATCGTATCTTTCCTGGGCCTGAGGTTATGCTCTGAGTACAGATGGTAGGCAAAGTATTTAATCTACTTTGTGATAATCAGAAATAAAAAATAAATAAATAAAATAAAATAAAGAAGTTAGTGTTATTTTGGACAAGATGTATGGTTAAAATTCTGTATCTTTAAGCCATATCTTAAATAGTTGCCATCTATATTTCAACTCTATAATCTTCTTCATTATTATTATGTCCCAGTTAGGGAGCATGAATTATCTCCTCATAGCTAAATGCTTTTGAAATTTAAAATTTGGAACAAGTGATATACATTCCAATTATCCTTGTTTGTTACATAATTTGATATCTATTTGGATGGTAAACTACTTGGTTATCCTTTATTGATCCAGACTCAGGAGATTAAAGTGAACTTTCCTGAATCCTGTGTCAAATAATTCAAGAGAGAGCATTATCAGGCTGAAAAATGATTTTTAATTAAAAATCTAACTTGGATTAGTTTAAGAGTTTTAGAAGAAAATAACAAATCTATATTTTCACTAAGCCTTTAATCATTAATTGCCTAATCACCAAAATAATTTTGAATCTTACCAGAAACAATAGGCATTTACAAGTCTTTGCCTTTGGAAGTATTTGTTGTCAGTGATTATGTATATGAAAATTTAGAGGTAGTGTGTGGGGCCGGCATTGTGGTGCAGTGGGTTAAAGCCTTGGCCTGTAGTGCTGGCATCCCATATGGGTGCTGGTTCGAGTCCCAGCTGCTTCACTTCTGATACAGCTCTCTGCTATGGTCTGGGAAAGACCCATATGGTTGGGAGACCCAGAAGAAGGTCCTGGCTCCTGGCTTCTGATCAGCTCTGCTCTGGCTGTTGTGGTCATCTGGGGAGTGAATCAGCGAATGGAAGACCTCTCTCACTCTCTCTCTCTCTCTCTCTTTGGCTCTACTTCTATCTGTAACTCTGTCTTTCAAATAAATAAAATAAATCTCTATAAAAAAAGTGGTAGTATGTTTATTTTGTCTTTCATAACTCTGTTTCTTATTTTCAAGTTTTAGACATATTTAGAAACCTTAATTAGATAACTTTAGGGTTTTGCATTAAGATTAGGTTGCACAGCAAAGGGAATAATCAACAGAGTGAAGACACAGCATGGGGAATGTGAGGAAATATTTGCATGTTATGCATTCTACAAGGGATCAATTCCCAGAATGTATAAAGAACCCAAACACCTCAATAACAAAACAACCCAAATAATGTTATTTAAAAATGGAAAAGTTAAATGGAAAGGCATTTCTCAAAAGAAGACATACAGCTGGTCAGCAAGTACATGCAAAAATACTCAACATTACTAGTTATTAGGGAAATGGAATTCAAACTATAGTGGAATATTATCTCATTCCATTTAGAATGGCTTTTATCAGAAAGACAAAGGAAAAAACAAAAAAACTGACAAATGTTGGTGATGATGTGGAGTAAAGGTAAATTTTACATACTGCTGATGGGAATGTAAACTAATACAGTCATTATGCATAGGAAAAATATGGTGGTCCCTCAAAAAGCTAAAAATAGAACTACCAAATGATCCAGCAATCCCACTACTGGATATATATCCAAAGGAAAGGAAATCAACATGTTGGATAGATGTCGGTACTTCCATGTTTATTGCAGCACTGTTTACAACAGGCAAGATCAACCTAGGTATCCATCAATGGATGAAGGATGAAGAAAATATGGTATATTTATGCAATGGAATATTATTCAGCTATAAAAGGAGTGGAATCTAGTCATTGGCAGCCACATGGATTAGCTTGGAGACATTGTATTAAGTGAAATAAATTGGGCACAGAAAGACAAATGCCACATGATCACATTCTTATATGGAATCTATGAAAATGATCTCATGGAAGTAGACTAGAATAATGGTTACCAGCTGGGAAGCAGAGAGGGACAGGGGAGGTAAGGAGAAGTTAATAGGTCTAAGATTACACTTAGATGGGAGAGATAAATTACAAAATGAATAAATTTTTGAGGTGAAAGATATGTTAATTAATTTGATTTCATCATTATGCAGACATAAATATATGAAAATATCATACTGTATCCCATAAATATGTACAATTATCCATCAAATATTTAAAATTTTTAAATGGAAAGAAAGTAATTAGGGTTGTTCATAGAAAGAGACAACTGTTATTTTCTAAATACTTTACAAATCGTACAAATCAGTAATTTAATTTAGAGTTTATTTCATATTCATCTTGATTCAAGCATTATACTATTACTTCATTTATATTGCTTGTAAACCTAAAAACATTGCAAATGTGAAGTATGAATGGGCTTTAAATAGTTCATGGAAAATGAAATTGAAAGATAAGTATTTTGGTAAAAAATTTTGAAATCTACCCATAGTTGTGTTGTAATACGTGTTTTCCATGAAATTTTTGAAGATTCTTCATAGGTATTTTAATTTCCCTTTAAAAGATAAGAGAACCAAATCTCAGATTTAGAGATTTAGCAGTTTGCTCCCAGTAATACAGCTTAGAAAAACATGTTGGATTTTGATATCAAGTCAACCTGATTCAAGACACCTTTCTTTCTTTTAAACTATACATTTAAATCATACTTTTTGGTTCAAACATTAGCTTTGAATCTTTATTATGTCGTTATTGTTTAATTGATTATACACATTAATCATGGTGAACATTTTTCCTTTTGTCTAGTCTATGGAGACAGAGCCGTATGTGTTTTCACAATTACCACTTTGAGATATCTTAATGTGCTTTAGTGTGAAGATAATGGGAAACCTAAAATGTCAGTCCTTTCTAAAGCTACCTTATAAAGTACTTTAGAAAAATAGTATGATTAACACTTAGAAGGAATAAAAAGTAAGGTTGTAGCTCTAGACACAAGACCAAAGTCAATGAGGAAAGGAATTCCAAGAATTCATGTGACTTCAATGAGAAGGGTACAGTGCTGTATGTGAAGGGGGAAAAAAAAAACATGTTAATCAGAAGAGGTGAGGTAATCCCCAAACTTATACTGATTCAGACTGGAGATAATGAGTAATTTTTCTCCTTTCTAGTGGTACACATCATTTCATAGTAAAAATCCAGCTTTCCTAGTTATTTTTCCCTATGGGTTTTTTGTTTATTTGTTTGTTTGTTTTTGTTTTTGTTTTTTTGTGAGACTGGAAATAGAAAGTACTCACAGAATCAAGATTTTGCATGAACATAATGGATTCCTTTGCAAGCTGAGATTTGTCTGGGATGAATGTGCATTTTGCTTCATACAGACCCGTCTGTGAGTCCCATCTGCATGGCCTGGTTATGCAGCTGCCTCCTTTGCATTCCCTGAAAACCACCTTACGGCCAGTAATTTGGGTGGAACATCTATGATGGAAGAATTAGATTACAGGTACATTATATGAAGACCATCAAAGATCAACATGCTAAAATCTTTTCCTTAGTAACCACTGCTATAAATCATGTAACAAAAATTCCATTTTGGTAGAAATAGGCACAATATTCTATTGCTATTCACCATAAATTTCAATAAGAACAATGTGTCAGGTCCTATTTATTAAACATTTATTGTTCACTAATTTGATGAATATATATCTTACCTTTGCAACTTTGAGCTGAAGATAATAAGTTTAATTTACAGGAGTGCTATGAAGATTAGTGAGTTAGGAGATACAGAAAAATTACATCTTAGTGGATGGGGAGAGTCAACATTATACCTAAAATTCTCCAAAATTTCCAGATGTGGTATATTCAGTTTTGAATTTACAGAACTTTATAATTTACATTTTGAGAACTATTGGGCTAGACTGAAGGAAGAAATAAAAATACATTCCGCATGGAAATTTTTATGCATTTAAGGATAAGTATCAAGTCCCTGGGAGGTGGATATGGGTAGAGACTTCCACAGTTTCTGTTTACATGTAGGATATCCTCTCATTCTGTGTTAATATTAGCCTTCATAACCTAATCCACTTTAATACATTTGTTTGTGTTTGCAAAGATTAAGGGAGATGAGTCATGTCTTGAAGGGGTTTAGTTCTAGGATAAGCTTGAAAGTTAACCATACTAAAGACCTGGTGCACAATAGACCTCAGTAAATGTTTTAGATACTTGTTTTCACTGGTCTCTGTCTCTAACTGACTACAAGAAAACTCATTCATTTCTTGTTAATTTTCCCAAAGTTTATTGTTTGATACATTCTTTGTTTAGCTTTTATTTTATGGCATGGGGATAAAAAAAAAAAAAAAAAAAACCACAGTCCTCAAAGATCTTAAAGTCAAACAGGGAAAATAAAATTGCATGGGCAGTTACCGCCCAGTGATGTAAATGTGAGCGATGGCCACACATGTTGCTATGGGAGCACTCTCAAATGCAGGGAGAGGAAAGGCATTTAGAGGAAGAATGTTGGAACTGAGTCTTGAAGGATTAGCAGACATTGTGTAAGGAAGGAGTTGCACAGGTGAAGGTGGGAGGAATGAGTGTCTGAGGCTGAGGGTCTATGTGAAAGACTAGAGGCAGCTCAGTGAACATCAAACGACTCAAAGGAGGAGGGAAGAGGCATGTTTTTATTACCCCTGTTCCACGTATTCATTTTTTTACCTCAAAGCCTTATTTACTAATTTTGTTTCCATTGTTCTTCAATATTCTTTAATCCATGTGCCTGATACTTTTAATTCAAAGGTTTGAATATCTCAGCTACTGATTAATAGAGACAGTTTATATCTACTCCCAGAATTGTATATATTTAAAAAATAAGTTTATTCACTTACCCTTATAAGATATACTTTTTGCTTTAAGATAAAGATTAAATGAAAAGTAAAATATATTTACCATGAATGAAATCTATTCGCCTTAAAAAGTTATGGATCAAGTAGAATGAAAAAGTGGGCTGGATTGAACTCCAATTCTCTGATATCTTGGGATTTAGGCTATGGTTTTTTTTCTTTCTCTCCAGTCACTAACATATATTAGTACAGTTTCTGTAAGTACCGAAATGATTCCCATTTCCTTATTAACATTGGTTCCAAGGTGGAATCCCCAGAATTAATGGAACACATACACAGGGGCCAGGATGGATATCACAATTAATTATATGAACATCCAACCACTTGAGAAAGCCTTTGTGTGCCTGGTGCAGAAAATTAAAGATATGAAAGTGAAAAGTTTTGAAAATACATTTCTTTGATACATACCTTGTTGCTTCAATAGTATTCTTTGTGGAACTATAGAATGGCCGATCCACATTATACTCATCAAATACTCCCCACCGAAGGTGGGCCCATTCATGGGCAAATACTCTGCCTATGAGAGAACATTGCCGCTTGTAAGTTTATAGTTAAATTATTTTAATACAGTTCCCTCATATTTTAAGTTTCTCTGCCCCATTTCACTGACTTAATTGAGTTAAGGAACTCTAAAAATTAATGCCTTTCATTAGTTCAAAAAATTTGAAATGGGTTTGTGCCAATAAGTGACTCATTATTAAACATGTACAGAAAGATATACTTAGGTTAAGTATAATTAACATATTTACAAGCAAAGGTATTAACTAATATTTTTTTAAGTCTTTAAGTTGTAACTAATCACAGTGTTACATATTTTTCCCATTTGAGTTAAGAGAAAAAGTATAAAATAGATAATCTTCACCTCGGGGCCCATAAGCAGATAAGTTATTAGTCAATAAGAAGTTTGGAGTAAAATGTATATATTGTCCTTTGTCTCCACATTGTCCGTATTGCAGTGTATAAGGATCATCTGCATATTTCAGAGAAGGATTTGCAATTATGACATCTGCCTAAAAGCAGAACAAATAAAAAGTCCAGGAGCAGTAGAAACAAGGAATTTTAGAAACAAGGACTTTTTCATGTACATTAAGAAGAGCTCTATTACTAATTTAATGATGAAATTAGTTATTAATAATTACCAAGACAGCATAAGTGCTGATTAAAAAAAAAGTAGGAAACAGATTAAGAGTTAGATAAAATAGCCCACCTGGTCATATGATTCTTGTTTTGGCATTAAGTACTCAGATTTTGATTTCCAGGTTATTGGAACTAAAATGTGTACATTCCTGAAAAAAACTCTTCTTTTGGTAGCTTGAAACAGGTAAGTAGATGCATCAGTTACCATTTCCTGTCAAAATTAAAATTATCTTGTGGTAACAGTTTCACAGTGAAATGAGCATAAACACACACACACACACACACACACACAAACCAGAAGAAGAAAATCAAAGCTCCATTTCCCAAAACAGTTTGGCAGGGAATAATTGAAAAACAGGTTGAATTTTACTGCTTCTCTACACTGGGTAAACTATTCATTTTCATGTCAAAACTCAACCCTGTGTTTCTACCTGTCTGCACCTACACTCAGCATTATGGATGGGTTGGAGGTTGAAATAAGGGTGTTGAGTGAGATACATAGGTGATTAAAATTGGGAACCTTTTGGCATGTTTCTTCTTGAATTAAACAGTTGTTTTCATAATTGGGTTATTTAAAGAAATTGTGTGTAATATTTGATAGGTTATTGTGGGTGTTATCCTCTCGTATGGAATATGTTCATCAAAAACTATGTTTTACCAAGTAGTAAAAATTGAAAAAAAAACAAAACAAAACAGGTGTGATTGGCTTCAGATTCCGGTTTTGCCACTAATTGTAAGACAGTTCAAATCACTTAATTTCTTTCATTTATATGACACAAAATAGGAATAATGGGAGTATCAAAGAAGATAATATATATTAAAGTGACATACAAATAAACTTAAGAAAATTTCACCTTCAAAAATATGTAAGGGCAAGAATTTAGTCTAGCAGTTAGAATGATGATCAAAACACTTGTGTCCGACATTAGAATGCCTGGGTTCAATTCCCAGCTCAGCTTTGATTTCACCTTTCTATTAATGCATACCCTGGGAGGCAGCCCATGTCAACTCAAGAAATTAAGTCTCAAGTAATTGGATCCCTGCCGTCGAACAGGGAGAAATAAATGTGGATCAGATTCTCAGCTCCTGGGCATTTTGAGAGTGAACCAATGGATGGGAGCTCTCCCTCTCTGCCTCTTGAATGAAAAAAAGAATTTTTTTAACTTTTATTTAATGAATATAAATTTCCAAAGTACAGCTTATGGATTACAATGGCTTCCCCTGCGTAACGTCCCTCCCACCCGAAAAAAAGAATTTAATGTAATATTTTCTTTAAGATAGATACATGAGAATTTAAAATTTTCAGGGTTAAAAAATTATGAACAACTGAAAAAATATGTCAGATAATGAATGTCTAGGGCTTAAATGTGGGTAAGTAAAATGTTATAAAAGTAATTTTATAAAGATAAAATTTAATAATGTTTTTCCATTTACTCTAAAATGTTTCTGTTAACTATTTGAAAAAAATATTAGTAGTTTGTCCCTTTTAGTAATTCATTAGGGGAATTATTATATGTTATTATTTAGTATTATAATAAAAATATGCAAAATCTTTAGATAAATACTGCATAAATGATGAATACTGTCTGAGTAACTTTGGAAAGTTACAACTCTGTATGAGTGCATGTGTATAAGCCTAGGGCAACATGTGTTGAAAATACTCACTGAAATGAAAATATGCAAATAATAAAATTTTCCCTTACCTTTATGTTTTGAATGAGTTTTTCATCTTCAGGAACACTGGGATTAATTGCAATGACAATGCCATCGTATCCATTGTTATTCAAATTTACCATTGAGCTTTTCACCTCAGGCAAGAGATGTAAGGCTAGAAAGAGAATAATGTTCAGGCTGAACTCCATCTTTGCACTTGCTACATGAACTGTTTGGAAATGAAAAGAAGGTATTTATGTATCTGCTTAAGTCAGGAATTTGAACCAAGACCAAAATATTTGCATAAATATATGTAGCAAATAACTAATTTTTTGGGTGAACTTCCTTATCTTACTCATTCTAAAGATTTAGTTGGTAAATAGCAATGGGGATTATGGTGAACATATTTATCATGCTTTTTGAGACAGTGAAGGCATTAACTATTCATTGAATGGAGCCATTCTAATGGATTGTTTGTGTAGTCATATTCATAGTGGTAGGGGGCCATCACCATCATCATCATCACCGTCACCACCAAATGGTGTTAGAGATGTAACTCCTGAGATTTGTTTGAAGAAAAGCACTTTATGGAAAGGAGAGGAACTGAAATTAAACCACGAGGAAAGAGCAGATGAAAAATCCCTGAGAGTGGCAGTGAATTAAAGGATTATATTTTTTGTTTAGATGGAAGTGATTTAAATTAGGTGGTTTTGGAACAGCTATGGGTCAAGGGGAAAATGTTATTACTGATTATCTTTGGTAATTTCTACTTATGTAGTTTTCAAACAGCATTAAATGTTTTAAGTCCCTCTGTAACTTGAACACTTAATATACTTCAATTAAGATTTCCATTTTGGACTGAACTCAAATGTTCCCTTGCTTGAAATAGTTGTATCCATAGCATCCTGAGTTGCCTGTGGAGTCATGGAATCTAAACCTGTCTCTCGCCTGGATGGCTTAACAATCATGTGACTCTTATTTGCAGTTGAGGATCTTTTTTTAGGCCTCCTTTCTTTTCCATGGTGTCAGAAGGATTATGAGATGTTGGAAGAATTAAATGAGATAACCTATTAAAATCACTTCATAGAGAATTCTGACACCATAATAAGCCCTCAAAAATATCCATTATTTTAAAACATTATATATTCTGACTAGAGAGCTTGCTGTAAATTTTTGCCAATTCACCTCTATATTTCTGTTGGCTTAATTTATAGAACTCTAAATATAGTCTTCCAGGGTTTAACTGGGGAATCCGGAGTCCTTGAGCCTGCCCGAGAACATGTATAGCAGGAGCCGTCTATCAGAGTGAAACTGTAAGCTTTCCAGAATGTTCTTTGAAATCTCCATCTACAGACAGTATCCTATCCTTGCTGGTCAGATTAGGGGTGGCCTCACTCATAAAATCTTTCCAAATCATCCAGACTAGAAGTCAACAAGTTCTTTCTTGAGAATATGTTTGCCTCACTGTGTTTACATCATACCTGCATTACATATTATTAATTGTGTATAGAATATCTCCTTACTACAGTGTAAATTCCTTGGAGGGAAGAATTTTTCCCCCTAAATTTAACCTCTCTTAACCTTAATTTTCTTAATTGCATGATAATACCTGTTTCGAAAATGATTGGAAAGTTAAATGTAGTAACGTGTAAAACCATCTATTTTAAGTACTGGTATGTGGTAAGGCCCTCAATAAATGTTGATTCTTTGCTTTTCCTTATTCCTTCTAATTCACATGAAAAAAAAAATTGAGTGCTTCTATGTACCAGGCCCAGTGCTGTACTCTTCAGAGCGTACAGAAGTGAGAAAAACATGGGCACTGCCTCCTGAACATGAAGATTTGTTGCTCAGATTAGAATAAAAAAAGTTAAAACATAAGGAAGAGTAAGAGAAGTTCTAGGAGAGAGAATTACTTTTAATGCCAAGGAACTAAAAGTTGGGGCATAGTTCCTATGTGATGAAGAAGTCATTAAGTGTTTAGGGGGCAGGCCAGTCTGCAGAAAACAGAGGCATGGAGAAGTTAATTAATCTGCCATAGAGTATGCTTTCAGAAAGGCACATTTAAAATCAGGCCATCTAGTTTCAGAGCCTATGCGTTAAAAGCCTATTTAACCCATAGGACTTTTTAAAAAGATGGCCAATGAGCACCAACCTTGAAAATTATTTGAAAGTAGTTTCTCCTTACTTCTTTTATAGATTAGATGTCAGCAGAAGATTCAGGAGAATGTGAATGGCTATAATTGAGTTGTATGATTCAGTATAAGTTCTATCTTGTTTCAACTTTAAACTGAAGAATGGGATTTTCTTTTGACTATTTTGCCTTTGGAAAAGTTAAGTACAATACAAGTATTTCAGAATTTAATTATTCATTTTTGGTAATTCTGATGAAACTATATTTCAGCTAATCAAAAATGAATTAAAAGCAAATATCATTCTTTGAAACATGAAATTCAAAGATGGAAATGTTTAGAGCTCACCCATTGATATGGTCCATGTGATTCAGAGATTATGAGACAATATAAGTGTCCACACCTACTCATTCTCCAAGACAGTCATCCTTAAATGTCATAGTTACTTCCTGTAGAGATAATGCTGAACTTAGCTATAACATAAACTTGGAACTAAAGATACAGTCAACTGGCAGCTTGATTTCCTTGTAGATACTCCCTCAAAATTCTCTTTATTAGCTCTTTTTTCTTTGCTTCTTTTATACCATCACCTTTGGAGTGTTTTCTTTTTTAAGATTTTATTTTTTATTTGAGAGATAGAGTTACAGATAGAGAGGGAGAGACAGAAAAGAAAGGGGTCTTCCATCCACTGGTTCACTCCCTAAAGGGCTGCAATGGCTGGAGCTGATCCAATCTGAAGCCAGGAAGCAGGAACTTTCTCTAAGTCTCCCACATGGGTGCAGGGGCCCAAGCATATGAGCTATCCTCTACTACTTTCCCAAGCCATAAGCAGAGAGCTAGATCTGAAGAGGAACAGCTGGGACATAAACCGGCACTGATATGGGATACTGGGGCTGCAGGCAGAGACTTAGCCTACAATGCCATAGCACTGGCCTCTGGAATGTTGTTATTTTATTACCAGTATTTATGTCCTTCATTTGTGAATATTTTCTTCATTCTTTTCATTTATAAATTTGGCCACTTATTTACTCATCACCCAATGAATTGAATGAACACTAGCAATGTGTCAGGCACTGTGCTAGGCAGCAGTATATAAAATTGATCAATTTGTGTACCTTACCTATTTCACAAGTACCTATGATCTAGTGAGAATTCTGGACACTAGTAATTACTTTCATTTTCTGTTGCTCTTCCTGCAACACTCAGTGTTATTTCAGTTCAGAGAAAACTTTGATAATTATGTAAATGATCATTATGATTTTCGTATTTAACATCTCAAGCTAACCTTGTTAATTCCTACATTTGATAGTGTACTGTGTAAGTTGCCACAAAATCCATGTTCTTTGTCCTCCTTACTAAAAGCTTCAATTTTTTTTCCTTAATTATCATGCGACTGAAATGAAAGTCACTTCCATTCCAAGCTTATGGGTAAATCCAAGTGGTGCAAACTCATGGTCCTCAAAGTGTAATTTGGAGATACATAGAGGTCTCCAAGACCCCTTCAAAGGATCTGAATGGTCAAAACTTATTGTAATGGTAATACTAAGAAATTGTTTGCATTTTTAAAAAAGATTTATTTATTTATTTATTTATTTATTTATTTATTTATTTATTACAGAGAGAGAGAGAGAGAGAATATCTTCCATCTGCTGGTTCAATCCTAAATGGTCACAACAGTTAGGACTGGGCCAGGCTGAAGTCAGGAACAGAAACTCCATGAGGGTCTCCCATGTGTATGGCAGGAACTCAAGAACTTGAGTCATGATCAGCTGCTTCCAAGGCACATTAACAGGGAGCTGGATTGGAAACAGAGTAGCAGAGACTTGAACCAGCATTGTGATATGGCATGTAGGCTTCCCAAATTGTGGCTTAACTTGCTGTGTCACAATGCTTACCCTTATTTGTATTTTTTAGTGTGCTGGCATTTGATGATGATAACATGTAGTGGACAGAACTGCTAGCACCATAGCACAAATCTAAGCTGTGACACTATACCTGTTAGACCCTCGGAGTGAGGATGCTAACACGTCGAGAGGCATACCCCAAAGACTCAGACTCCAGACCAGCTGATGCAAAAGCAAGAGGATTTATTCGGCGTCTGCGCAGACGGGCCTCCTGAACTCGGGAGTCCAGAGAGCGCCCCCAGCACAAAGCCACACGGTTTATATACCCGCAGTGACCAATCAAAAGCACTATAGAGTCCATGCACACAGCAGTCCAATCCGCGAGCTGATCATGTGAAGGGCATGCGTCTTCTATCCAATCAGCTACGGGATCACATGGGAGGCATGCACCTCGTCGCCATTTTGTTGTTTACTTCTTTAGTAGTTCCTTTCCCTGCCAGTGCCATCTTGTTCACCCTGGGGTGGGGGGCGACGTCTTGCTCCCTTTGTTCCCCTTGTGGGAGAGCGGCGTCCCGCTTCCCACACCGTTATTTGAGTATTAGGAGGCATACAAACTGGGTTAGGTCTTAGCATAGCCAGGCACAAGTGTCGCAGCTAGCTAAGCATAGGGTCCCTTATTTTTATAGCTACACCTAATTTTAGCTTTGGGGGAAAAAGTTTAGGGCTGTAATTTTTAAACTTTAATTTTTTATTTGGGGCAAAGGTAACTTCTTATTTTTAATAGTGTTAGCTTAAGTCACTCCATCTTGGTTTGATTTTTAAGGTTCTTCATACCATAGTACTTAGAGTTATTGAATTCTTCACTGCCAAGACTAATGGGTGTTTCACTTAATAATAATCCTAATTTTATTAAATCTCTAACCTTGTATACACATCTTTCTTTATTCTTTGTGATGTGTTTTTGAAGTCTGATGGTTTTCTTAAGGAAAATCACTAGAGCAAATGATGAGATGAATGAACTGAATGAAGACCCACTTTTGTTTGAAAGAACTATTGACAAAACAAACTATGGCTATTAAGACAACTATTTGGCAGATATTTTTCAAATATTTCCTCACTTAGAGGAAAACAACCAGCAGTATCTTGCCACGAAAAAAAAATTGTGCTTTTAAAAATAGAACCTTTGAAAACTTACTTCTGGGGCTGGCACCATGGCGCACTAGGTTAATCCTCCAC